GACACTTTCAAAAATTTTGACAAAAAGTCGGTCAGTTTAAAACGGCCCTTACCGTGGATTCACCGAGCTCGACCAAACCTACTGCTTGTCGGTTCGAACACGGTGCGCTGGACGTTTTTTTATCACGGCTCAGGGGTAGGATATTTCGCTATCCCTAACCCCAACCCAACCGACCCGACCCAAACCCGTGGCATTGGAGAGTGCTAGGTCACCGTACGAAGCAAGCCTAGGCCGCGGCAAGCCGCGGCAACGTTAGGCTTCTGCACGGGGTTAAAGCTAGGTTGCTGCACCGTTTGCGTTCTGGGTTGCAGCTGTCCCGTTCAGGCTAAGCGGTGGCGCAGGGGCAAGGGCTAGGTTGCTGTGCACCGTCAGGGCAAGGTCGTTGTGCAACGTCAAAGCTAGGTTGCTGTACGGTTTCAGGGCTAGGTTGTTGTGTACCGTGAACCCTAGGTTGCTGTACGGTGTACTGACTGCTAGGTTGCCGTACAGGGCTGCACCTACCCAAGGAATGTTCCAAGAAATGGTATCCCGTTACCTCGCGTAGCACGCAGAGGGAGTGGAGGACTCCAGAATATCTGTCGTTGATTTCTCTGACCTGCGGACCCCTCGGCGCCAGTATATTTGAGTGCACCTTTAGGGTAAGTTAATCTGTGACCACGGGAATCGACCGTGTCGAGTGTTGGATCAGTACGGACATACGAAGGTACTGGTGGAGAAAGATCGGAGCGGTTTTTGATGTGAAGACAACAACAACAGTCCCGACATGGAGACCACCGCTTTCGATCAAGTCTTCAGCACTACTGCCCCCCCCCCGTTCTTCCCATTTTGCGAACACAAACTGAACAAAGCGACCGCGCAGCACGATCCATCCATTGTACCCACAACAGCTGGTACCCACCACCCGCCTCTCTCATCTACCAAGGGAGACAGACAGGGTCTGAGCACAGCAGTATCAAAGGTGGGTGACATAGATACAGGGGAGGGAGGGGGTGTTGTCAGTAAGGCCGGCTGACAGCCAGCGAGCAGCAGGCGGGCTCGGGAAAACAAAGCAGCACGGTTTCCGCCAATATACTTCCGCCTCTGTAGCAGATTTTCCATATGAGGGACTTGCATGAACACTACTTGTTGGCAAATGCATATGCATACGCCACACGCACAATAACTCTGGTGCACGAAATCGCTGGGAGCTGAGCGGTGCATCGCCCCGGGCAGTCAGGTGACCCTGGCGGTAGTCATTGACACATAAATGATGTCCTCTGTTGTTGTTTTTGGTGTGATCTGAGCCTGGAGAGACATGGCGGTGATCGACGGCCACCAACCCGCGCCTCTCTTATTGTGTATTTTGCGCTGCTGTAGACTTAGACTATGCTGCTGCCGGTGGTGTTCTAGGAGGGACATCAATATCTTTTGGAATACGATATATCGAGTTCGAAGTTCGAGCCTTACCCACAAACGGGGATGCATGCATGTTTGTGTGAAGGGTTCATCTGCGTGGAACAAGGGTGGACATGAAGGGTGATGCGCGCGTACCCTTTCGCCCGGTCTTGCCGCTCCACAGCAGTAGCTCGTTTTCCAGTCAAGGTGCAAAAAGGCGTGGGTGCGACGTGGGAAAAATCCGTATCTTGCTGACGCTATCGGACACGAAATGCAACTAAACTCGTTTCTCACTCATCCGTGTCAGCTGGCTCTCGATACAGCCCTCACTCAAGATACGTACATGTACGAAGCACCGTGTGAGAAACTTGCTTCCCGTGTCGAGCGGTGCTGCGCTCTATTGCTGCTGCTCTCACCATGGACAAAGCACAGATAATATGGACTATGCGATTTTTCGATTTTTCATCCTACCCTGGTAGCCGTTTGTTCGGCCATTGGGGGCGGCGGTCACCAACCTAGAACTGAGCCACCAAGCCCTAGGAACTGTTGGACCCGCAAATCGCGACCACTCAACAATATGGCTCTTCATACGCTGGGAGTCTCTTTGTTGTACCATATAAACTCGCTGTACAGCAGTTTCTTCTCCAGTCTCTGAGCAGCAAGGGGTGTACTGTTTTTCAGCCCGTGACATCGCCCCGGTGGTCTAATGGGTAGGCTCGCAGCCTGCTAAGGTCCAGGTCATGGGTTCGAGTCCCTACAGAGTGAGTTCTTTCTCGCTTATGAAATCCTGGTCTCCGTTGGAAGCGACGCACTGCAAAGCTCGTTGTTAGTAAACTTGATCGACTTCGTAAGTCGCGAGGGAAGGGATTGCTGTACCCTTCTCGCGATAAAAATATCTCAGGCAAGAACCGCAGGAGGGGGCCCAACCCCCCCTCCTCTGTGACCCCGGTTGGGTCGTCCAGCTGGTAGAAGTGGAGGATAGGGGCCAGAGGGGGAGACGACAGAGTCCAATGATGGGAGAAAAACAAAGAAACAAAAATAATGTTGTCTTCGCATAAAAAAAACCCTTGTCCCCATATGCATCCTTATAGATAATGTATGAGATTTCGCGCCCCCCCTTTATTTTTTATTTAATGCTCGCGATTGCTCCAAATACAGCAGGAAAGTGCCCAAAATGGCGGAGGAGATGGAACCGATCGTCTCTTCGAAAGTTCTGAATCTCGGGTCGGTCATGTACATGGAGGCGTCCTCTATATTTTTTGTTTTTTTGTTATCGGTTTCCGAGGGCTCTTTTCTCGAACGGTCGGTGCGGTACCTGTTATTTTCTTTTGATCGTTTTGTTCTCTTTTTCCGAGTAGTTTGTACCCTATTTTGGTTTTGTTTCCCCGCCGTGTCGTATGTGCCGGGTTTTGAGACCGGGGGCTCCCCATGTTTTGTGGACTATAGTCTAGAGCTAATAATGTGAGAAACAACAACATGTACGTATTGTACCAGTTCACTACCCAGTACGTACCAATTACTCAATAACCGAGCTTCGGAAATGGGTTCAGGGTGCCTTATCCTATTGTTGTGTCGTCTATGTTTACAACTACACTCCTACCACTATATGCAGACGGCTACAGCTGCTGCTGCTGCCGCACACCGCACCGACCGGAGGTAGATATGGCATAACATGAAGAATACTCTCCTTCATGCCGATCAAGATGTTACTGAAGTTGGTCCTCCTATAACATCATCCATACTTCGAGAACGAGGACCATTTACATCGATACTTGTAGGGGGCGTACAAGTAGTAGGAATAATAAAGGGAGATGACGCAGGTTCGCACGAGGGTCTGGTATTGGGGAGTGACGGAGGAGGAAAACCGGGACCTCAACAAGCAAACCCATTCAATTCATGGTTGTTGTTGTAACAGGTGGAGGAGACAGAGTGAAAGAAATTGCTCAAATATGAAAGAGTGAGAAGGTGGTAGACTATTGTTCCAAGCCCTGGAGCATTATGCATTGTAGATATAGGCGCAAAACTTGGAAGTCAGGGGAAGTGGATTCATTGGCTGTAGGAGGTGATGCAACTGTTTGATGCCATTGTTGTTATTGTTGTTATTTTCTTCACATTAACTTCTGTCAGTTGCTAATCCCAAAATCTAGCAACGACTCGGTCCGTAGTCACAAAAATGCCCGAGCCATCAGAAGATCTAAAGAGCACGCACACTATTACCAAGAAAAGGGTACAAAAGCCCGAGGAGGTGCACCTACAATCACTGCAGCACGTTTGCGTGCTCACAACTGAACTACACGCCCACACGCTACAAATCGACTACAGCAGCAGCATCACCCGCCTTGTCCCGCATTTATCCAAAATGAATGTTTGTCGACTACAGCGTACTGACTGCTGTCTAAAGTGCTGTCTGTACAGTAATAACATCATGGTTCATGGTACACAACAAGCTCGGGGCATGCAGCTGCTGTCTGAAGTGCTGTCNGACTACAGCAGCAGCATCACCCGCCTTGTCCCGCATTTATCCAAAATGAATGTTTGTCGACTACAGCGTACTGACTGCTGTCTAAAGTGCTGTCTGTACAGTAATAACATCATGGTTCATGGTACACAACAAGCTCGGGGCATGCAGCTGCTGTCTGAAGTGCTGTCAGAATGAGTCCGTGGAGATACAATGAAGAACACCCAACAAAGCCATCATTGCAATTGACAATCACCCGAATTTATCCAGATCATCTGTGTGAAGCACAGCTGTGTAAACATCGACACTGACTAGGAATCGTTCCACATTGAAGGGGTCTTCNCACCCAACAAAGCCATCATTGCAATTGACAATCACCCGAATTTATCCAGATCATCTGTGTGAAGCACAGCTGTGTAAACATCGACACTGACTAGGAATCGTTCCACATTGAAGGGGTCTTCCACGATGCAGGTACACAATGTAATCAAGGCACCCGGGTTATCCGTGCCATCTCTGCCGCGTCTCTCTACAAAACCAGTGACGTCATCACACACACCCAACACCTATATTCAGGAAAAAAACGGAAAATAATTGACAACACAAGAGATGTTTGTCCGTGTGCCACGGTTCGATGCCGTCCGCATGCGCCGGTTCCGCTGCTCCGGTGCCGCTTCTCCGGTGCCGCTGTGGCCAGTCCTAGCACGACCAAACTCGACCCGCTCCGCTTCGTTCACGCTCTCGTTGCTGTCCATCCCAGTCGGTTCCTCGCTTTCTCCCTCGTTGCACTTAGGGTTCTGGGTCTGAAAATTCTCGCGCCGAAGGATCAACCAGCCCAATCAGCTCGTCACCACCTCCCCCCTCCTCTTTTGATGGCAAAACCAGGTTACTGAGACAGCAGTGCAGCTCCCTCTAGCAAACCTAGGGCCGTGTACGTAGTGCCCGTCCACCTTTCTGATGATGTCTGCCTCGGAGCACAAAGATGAGATGGGCATTGCTGCCTACACCGACGGCCTGGAGGCCCGCGCATCTACACCTTTGTACCTGACGCACCAGTGCCGACCCAACTCCACCACTACGCACGCCTCGCGGCGGGTGCGCCGCAGCAAGAAGGTATCGGTCCCTTGAGGGTGAGTCTAGCCCTGCTCGCTAGAAAGAACCCCCTCCTCGCTATGGGTTATGCCTACGCAAAACCTTGCCGAGGGGAAGGAGGGGGCCATGCGATCTGAGGAAAGAAAGTAACGTTAATATACACAGTCAGCGATGTTGCTTCCAAATGTACTTCCAAATTCCGACTACCAGTGTTTTTCCACAGGCTCGTTTCAGTTTCCGGTGTGGTTTTCATTGTTGTTGTTGTTGTTGTCGTTGTCGTTGTTGTTGTTGTTGTTGTTGTTGTTGTTGTTGTTGTACTCAGTTTCCCCTAAACTTCTAGGGTAGGGTACTGAACCAGTATGTACTACCAGTGCACATGCACTGGCACTGCATGTGCACTGGCTGCGTCAGCAGCCAGTACTCCAGTACATTCTAATATCCGCAGAATCCCTCAACATTAGGCCTCAAGAACCAGCGGAAACCCATCTATTCACGCCGCCTCTGAGAGAGACACAGCCACACAGCAGTCCAAACACCAAACGCGCCACACAGGTCGGGAGACGATTCAACGATGGACAGGTTTGTAGTCTCCCCTGCCAGCTTGCCGTCTGCTGCAAACCCCGGCAGTGGTGCTGATGATGCAGGGGCTGCTGCCGCACAGCAGCAGCAGCAGCCAGATGCGCCGACACCGCCTGGAGCAAGCGATGAGGTGCAAGTGGTGGACACGGCGGTGGACCCTTCACGCGTGAGTGTGAAGGAGGCTGAGCGCCTCTTGAAATTGAAGAGGGTGCAGACCGAGGCGTAGAAGTCAAAACTGTCTGGGGCCTCTGTGTACGCCTGGCGATACTTTGAGGTCTACGTCAAAGGGAACTTCAAGGCGTTTGCCGTCTTTAAGCTGTGCATGGAGCAGAAGGAGTTCGGCCGGGCAGAGATCAATCAAGTACAGCCAGTCGCCATCAAACCTTCTGAGGCACCTCAACACCGATTTTGCCGACCATCAAGCAGCCTTCGAAGACTGCACACGGCCTTCAAGGTGTCCACAGGTATCAAGATGTACGAGGAAGACAAGGAAGACACAAAGGTGTACCTTGACCCCTGGACTGGTGGCGGGTACGGTGCGCAGACTTCCCGCACTTGGCCAACCTCGCCCGCCGTGTGCTGGCGATTCCCGCCACTCAAGCAAAGTCCGAGCGTCTGTTTTCCTGCGCTGGAAACATCGTCACGAAGAATCGCAACAACTTGGCCCCGACCACCGTGGAGCTGCTCGTCCTTTTGCGCCACTCGTGGAAGATAGTGGAGGAATGGGAACAATCGAACACACCCGCGGCCGCAATGAGGGGCTAGGGTAGTGGCTGTGTTTGATGGTGGCTGTCTTTGACGGGGAGGATCTTGGTTTGGTTCTCTGCTGAAGGGTGCTGGTGGCGCAAAGAATCGCCATCGTAAGTCTCTGCTATGCTGGTGCTAGCGGCAGTGATTTTTGCGCGGTGTTGGTTTCGGTTGTGTAGCTTTGGCGCTGTTCTTATCTCCTACTTGAGCATTCTATCAAGCTGGTGGTTCATTTGTCGCGCAACTTATCCTGTCGTTTCTAGGTAGACTAGTAGATAGTAGATAGTAATAGTCGTTTCCTTTTAGTTTTTAAGCTCTTAGCTGGTTTCTTGGTATACATTCAAGGCTGCCGTGTGGTTGTGTCCTTCGAAGGGTCGTTCGTGTTTCTGCGAGAGAGGGGCTGCAGAGTCCAGTATACAAGAGCGTCGCTCATCAACCCAACTGATGGATGTCAATTTGTTGCTTGGGAGTAACATTTCAAATTCCAAAATATTTCCTGATGTCGAAAACCAACAAATTCAGTCGTGGAACTCGAAATTTCTATCGTTTTCTCCGCGACAGTGCCTCTGTCAGATGGGCCAAAATCACCCCTTTTTTTGGTCTAGTGAAGCCAAATCGCGTAAAAAAGCGCCTCCGGCGGGGCGCGCGCCAGTACCCAACCCTAGCGATTCCCCAAATTTGAAACTTCTTGTAAAAAACATTGAACTCAATTCATTGGCTTCTGATATGATGTACTGTTCAGTCTACAGTGGGGGATGCTATATGCCGACGATGCCGGCGTTGTGTCGAAGTCCGCCGACGGCCTGGCGAGGATGATGACCATTATCGTGGAGGTGTTCCGGGAGTTCGGGCTGACGGTGTCGGAGAGGAAGACGGAGACCCTGGTGATGCGGGTGAAGGAGAGACAGCGACCGCCGCCGCCGCCACCGCCGGTGCTGACCATCGAAGCAGCGGGGCAAAGGTACGCACAGACGACCGAGTTCCGATACCTGGGCGGCCTCGTCAACGAGCAGGGCGACCTTACCCGA